TTAAATGCTTCATTCCTTCCAATGGTGACGGTACTATGAGGTGATATGATTCAGATTTTTTTTAAAAAGGTTATGCGGACTTGCATAAATATATTTTTAAACTTTTAAAGAAAGAACTCTTTGCTGATGAAAATGCACTGGGTATAATAACAATGTTGCACCTGTAAAGAACAGGGAATTCAGATCAAGTCATAAAGCCTGGAGGACTTTTAGAGAGGGGTCACATGGCCAAGTCTGTTGCTGGAATAAGGCTACTGTTTGTGTGAACTCAGACACAGAGTACTTGTGGCCAGTCTGAAATGCATCAGCATTTTCCAGCAGTTGAAAAACTACAATACCAGAAGAAAAAAAAAATCATTTTTGGGCATTATCAACAACTCTGAAAATAATTTCTGGTCCGTCAAACTGGAATTAAATGGACACCCCAGACAGTTTAAAGTTTGATACAAGAGATGGTATTTTAGCATTATCAGATCACCTTAAATGCCTTAAACAAATTCAGTGACGACCATCCTGCACAAATTTGCAAGAGAAACATTATTAAAAGTGAAAGGCCAATGCATGGTAAAACTCATTTACAAGCAAAGATAAATCATGGAATCTCCCTATGTCATTCAGAATCAAGAATTATCTCAACAAAAGAAAAATGTGCTTAAACCTGATATTAACATATAGATAGATGAAATTGTAAATAAAGAGCAAGCAAATGAATATTGAGGGGAGTTTCCAAAATTATTCACAAGTTTAAAGGTTTAGCACACATACTATGGATGGAAAAAGAGCATAATGACAGGAGAAGAAATTGAAGACAACACATTACATTATCTACAGGATATGGTATGATTTAACTGGGAACAATGTACAAAAATGCCAATGAAACCGCCAAAATCCAATCTGTCTGACTGGCAGCTTAGCATTCCAGAATATGGCTCTTTTAAATGGGACAGAAAGGGAAACCAAAGGGGTGGGGGAGTTGCATTGCTGAGTAGGATCACAGCTGTGTTGAGGGAGGATATATTGGTGGGATCTTGCAGTGAGGGATTATGGGTGGAGCTCAGGAATGGGAAGGGTGAAATCACAAATGTTGGGAGTTTTCTATAGACCTCCCAACAGCCCACAAGAGACAGAGGAGCAGATATGTAGTTAGATACTGGAAAGATGTGAAAAAAATCAGGGTAGTTGTGGTGAGTGACTTCAACTTTGCTCTTATTGACTGGACACCCTTAGTACCAGGGGCTTCAATGAAAAGCAATTAGATGTGTCCAGGAGGGCTTTTTGAGACAGTATGTTGACAATCCAACAAGAGAGAAGACCATATTAGACTTGGTACTAGGGAATGAGACGGTTTCAACAGGAGATCATTTTGGGCTTAGTGACCATTACTTGAAATCTTATCGAGTTGTCATGGACAAGGACAAGAGTAGGCCTCGGGTGAAATTGCTTAATTGGGCAAGAGCCAATTATATCCAAATTAGACAGGAACTTAGGAATGTGGACTGGGAGTAGTTCTTTGACGGCAAATCTACGTCTGGCACGTGGGAGGCTTTTAAAGACCAGTTGATTAGAGTGCAGGAAATGCATGTCCCTGCAAAACTGAAGGATAGGAATGGCAGGATTCAGGAACCATGGATGACAAGGGAAATTGTAAACTTAGTCAAAAGGAAAAAGGAAGCATACAACAGGCCTAGGCAGCTACAAACTGATGAAGCCATTGAGGAGTATACAGAAATTAGAAAGGAATTTAACCGCTGAATTAGGAAGGCTAAAAGGGGTCACAAGATGTCTTTAGCCAACAGGACCAAGGAGAATCCCATGGCTTTTTATGCATTTATTAGAAGAGGATAGCAAGGAAAAGAGGAGGCCCCCTCAAGGACAAAGGAGGGAAGTTATACGTGGAGCCACAGGAAGTGGGGGAGATCCTTAATGAGTACTTTGTATCGGTATTCACCAAGGAGAAGGATGTGACTGATAGAGGTTAGGGTTGAATGTGTGAATATTCTAAAGAATGTCAATATTTTGAAGGAGGAAGTTTTGGGAATCCTAAATTGTATTAAGATGGACAAGACCCCAAGACCAGATGGGATCTATCCCAGGTTATTACCAGAAGCAAAGGAAGAAATAGCTAAGGCATTAGCAGATATCGTCACATCCTGTTTACTCACAGGCGAAGGTCCAAAGGACTGGCGATTAGCCAATGTTGTTCTCTTGTTTAAGAAAGGAAGCAGGAATAATCCAGGAAAATATAGACCGGTGTGCCTGACATCTGTGGTCAGAAAGCTCTTGGAGAAAATAATGACGGACAAGATGCACATTTGGAAGAAAATGTACTCTTTAGTGAGAGGCAGCATAGTTTTGTACAGGGAAGATCATGCCTCATCAACCTGATTGAATTTTTTGAAGAGGTGATAAAGATAATTGATGAGGGAAGGGCTGTGAATGTAGTGTATATGAACTTTAGTAAGGCATTTGATAAAGTCCCACATGGCAGATTGGTACAAAAACTGAAATCACATGGGATCTGGGTGGGCTGGCTAGATACAAACAAAACTGGCTGGGTTATAGAAAACAGAGGTAAGCGATGGAAAGGTGTTTTTCAGAATGGAGACTGGTAATTAATGGTGTTCCACAGGGGTCAGTCTTAGGTCCTCTGTTATTTGTAGTATATATAAATGATCTGGAAGAAAATGTGGGTGGTCTGATTAGCAAGTTTGCAGATGACACGAAAATCTGTGGAGTTCCTGATAGAGCCAATGATTGTGAAAGGATACAACAGAATATAGATCGACTGGCAACTTGGGCGCAGAAATGTCAGATGAGTTTAATCCAAACCAATGCCAGGTGATACACTTTGGAGGATCAAATTTAGTTGTGAATTATACTGTAATTGGTAGAACCCTTAGGAACATTAAAATTCAGACAGATCTGGGCATGCAGGTCCACAGTTCCCTAAAAGTGGCAACACAGGTGGCCAAGGTGATTAAGAAGGCATATAGCATGCTTGTCTTCATCAGCCGAGGTATGGAGTACAAGAGTTGGCAAACGATGTTGCAGCTCTAAAACCCTTGGTAAGCTGCATTTGGAGTATTATGTGCAGTTTGTCACCACACTACCAGAAGGACATGGAAGCTTTGGAGAGATTACAGAGAAGGCTCACCAGGATGTCGCCTGGCCTTGAGGGCATTGGCTATTAGGAAAGATTAAAAACAATAGGATTGTTTTCACTGGAAAGGCGGCAGCTGACAGGAGACCTGATAGAGGTCTACAAAATTATGAGAAGCATAGATAGGGTGGATAGTCAGAAGCTTTTTCCCAGGGTCGAAGTTTCAATTACAATGGGCACAGGTTCAAGATGAGAGGGAGAAACTTTAAGGGAGGTGTGCGAGGGAAGTTTTTCACGTGGAGAGTGGTAGGAGCCTAGAACACACTACCAGAAGAGGTGGTGAAAGCGGGCACGTTAGCGACATTCAAGAGGTATTCGGATGGTTACATGAATAGGGAGGGAATAGAGAGATACAGACCAAATAAGGGCAGAAGGTTTGTTTTTTAGCTTGGTTAGGGCATGATGATCAGTACAGGCTTGGAGGGCCGAAGGGCCTGTTCCTATGCTGTACTTCTCTTTTGTTCTTTGTTCTTACAGATAACACTAAAATAATCTACTAATACACTGAGAGAAGGGGCTTATGCATTCTTGGAGAAAGTTGAAGAAATAGAAAATACACTATGACAAGGAGCAATTTCACTAGATACTTTGCCAACAAGATTGTGTTCAGGTAAGGTTGCGTACCAAAGCCAAAATGCTTTGATAAGTATCTGTGCAGATTTAAATCAGTTAAATAAAGTAGGGAAATAAGAGAATCACTCAAAGTTCTAATGGATCAAAGTCTAGCAAATCCAGTCAAGAGTACCCTGTGTACCAAACTGATGCTAACAGTGAATTTTGTCAATTACCTCTAGGTGAAGACTCCAGAAGACTAACTACACTTGTGACAAGGTGTAGAGCAGGATGAACACAGCAGGCCAAGCAGCATTAGAGGAGCAGGAAAGCTGACGTTTCGGGTCTGGACCCTTCTTCAGAAAATGTT